TATGAATTTGTTTTTTTAATTTTTGTCAATATTTAAAAAAGAGTACATAGTAAAATTTTGAATTTAAAATTTGGATTTCAAATTGAGGAACACAGTGTTGCAACTACACGAATTGCCAAATTTGTAAATAGTTTTCATAGAATTTTCGATTTATCACTTGAAGAGATCGATTAAAGAGCGAATGTGCTGACGGATATACAAACGCTACATTATATGGTATTTTATATGATATATAATGAGTCCATATAATTAATTGTTAATCAAAAACAATAAGAATTTCTAACTCAACAATAAGAATTTCAAATGATCAAAACTTGGTACATGAAATTTTATTATTGAAATAAGGTCATTAGTTAATATTAATTTTTTTTTTTATTTTTATATACAATACACATTAGTGACCAGACTGGGCTTTTAATTCGACTCCTTTCACTTAAAGGACCAGTGCAATAATTGCACTGTTTCAGTTAAATTCAGTTAAAAGACCAGTGCACTGCACCATTGGTCAGGTCATTAGTCAGGTCATCCAACGAATAATTCCTATATAAATATTAAAACATATAAAGTTCATTATTCACATCTGCAGTACTACCATTTTTTGTTAAACAGCTTTTCTTTGGTAGGCCTTGTTACCTCGAAATACTATATATTATATTTTTATATTATTATTATTATGTATATTTCTAGCATTTATACTCGTATGTACACAAATATAAGATATTATCATTTTTATATATGTATGTATATATAGAATTATAAGCATAATAATGTACACATATGTAAGAGATTTTGCCACACATACCTGTACTTTATACATACAGACATATTTTTATATTTATATATTTATTATAAAAATGTTGAAGTGGATTTATGAGTTGGAGTATCCACTTTAATATTATACAATGTGCCCAGAAAATCTGGTTTTGGCATTAATGGAATTGTGAGTTCCAATTAAAATTCTCAAAGAGCATAAGTACCGAAGAAAAACGAGAAAAAAAAAAAAACAGAAAAATTAAAAATGAAAAAAAAAGGATATAAAGAGGAAAAATAGAATTTTATCGGCCCACTAAAGTATCATAAAAATGAACCTCTTGCGTATTACGTACATATTAAATGCTTACATTAATAAGTATGCATATATATGTACGTATACATATATTGCACAGGTACATATTATATTTGTATATATGTATAGAAAAAATGAAACTAAGTGAATAAAAAGGTACAAAAGAAATAGGATTCATTTATTATTTTTGCTTTTTCCTCTTGTTCTTTCTCTTCCCGTTTAATAGGAATAGAATTTCATTTTTATACTACATATTATATTCTATATTTATATTAGGGACTATCACATTTATTTAATTATTCTTATCATTTCACATATGTATGTACATAATATGTTCATGTTCATTTTCTTATCATCGGGTATACCAAAAAAATTATTATTATTATTATTATTATTATACATGAATTTTCTTGTGAAAAACGAAAGGAAACCAATTAAAAGTGAAGAATTCATGTTATACTCTAAACAATTTAGAAAATATAATATACGAAAGGAAGCCAATTAATGTCAAGAATTGACACTCTTCCATATATACATTTCGTATATGTATATGTATAACACATAATAATATTGTGTTAAAAGGTCAAATTACATTTAAATCTTTCGAAAAGTGAAGCATATTAATTTTATGAGAAAAAAAAAGTATAAAATGTTATACAAAATAATGTGTTAAAAGTTAAAAATAAGTTAAAAGATTGGTTCTTTAAAAAAAAGGCGAGAATGAATTTTTTAATTAACTGATATACACACGAAAATATATAGTATTATAATATATGGTTAGTGTTATAAAATGTTATAAAATGTTCAAAAAATATTTGCATTTAAATAAAAATTAAGAATTACCATTTCATACTAAGATACCATAACAATATTTTACTAACCACTGACTTCAAAATTACATTGATATTCTACTAATACACAATTCAACTTATAAGTCAACTGTATATGACTGCAATTTCGAACTCTTGTCATGTTGAAATTAAAATTTTAGATTCCATTGTCACTCTTTATATTATTAATATTCCTAAAATTAAATCGATGGCAAAAAAAAACTGCTTAAATTCGATTTGATACTTAGTTCAAAAATGCCAATTCCAAATTTTCTATAAACAAATTTATATTCTGGAAAAATTTAGCTAATACATACTCTATATTTTTAATTTACCATTAAAAGAAATTTTAAAGTAGAATATTACAAATTTTTTAAAAACTTAATCTAAACTTTAAGCTCCTGGAGGATTTTCTTTTAATGGTTTTATCAACATAACATTCTAAAGGCAGAAATGTTCAATTACCATTAAATTTTATTTTAAATTATTCCGATACTAATAAATTCTGATCCATATTAACTTTGCAACAATTTTTTTTTTTCATCCTTATCATAAATGATGGAAATTTAATATTGCTTGACGCTCTGACTGCGTCTAAATAATTATTGTCTTGCTCTTTCGTGCAATGTTAGTTTGCATGATAGGTGATGCTTTTAAATAAGTGATGAAGTAATTCATCTAATAATAAAAAAAAACATATACCTTGAATTAATTTAATAGTAATTTAGTAATTTTTAAAAAAATTTATAGACATCATTAATTTAATTACAGTAGCATTTATGTGCACACATTCATACATTCATACTTCTTATATTGAAATCGTCAATCAAACAAACAAAACTAAATTCTATATTAATCGAAGTTCTATATATTGCATTTCAGATGTCTTTCAGAATACATGTTGCAGTATACTTCAAATCATATAAAAATCTGGGCTGAATTCAATTAAAAATTCAATAAAGTTTCCATTAACGGTATCAATAAATATCTTTCTCTAACACATTGATACAAAAATTCTCTATTATTATTTTACTTTAAATGTCATATCATTTTGCAAATATCTTGGAAACATAATGGTTACATATCCTTCTTGTATTATATTGTTACGTTAGGCATATATATATATATATGTACATATATGACAATTCATTTATTTTTAATGTGACACATATACCACCTTTTTTTTTTAATTCTTCACTTTTTTTTTTTTTACAAATTCCTTTAATCGGATTTGTGGAAATAAATTTTGAACTAAAAAGTTATATTTTTACCTTTTTGATAGTTTGCCAAGAAAATTATATTTAAAACACAAAAAAAAAAAAAATTACATTTTCTTAGAATTATTAAATTCACAAAAGTGTCATAAATTAACCACTTTCAAACAAAAAAAAAAAAAATTATTTTTTATAATTCAAGTGAAAATTTAATTTAATTGAAACCCTTTTGTATATAAAAACAAAAAATTTTTTTTTCTCACAAAATTTTATAAAATGCTTTTATGCTTTTATTTCGTAATAAAATATTGTAGCGACAGCCACAAAAATGAATTTAATTTTTATAGTACTTAAAGGTGAAATATAGGCACTTATACTCGGTAAACGTGCTATATAACAACAATTTTTTTATGAAGCTTATAAAGAAACTCTTTGTGAGGCTTATAAAAGAACTTTTTTACATAAGAAAAATTAAATTTCGTAAATTTATTATAAATAGCAATAAAATATTAAATTAAATATTTCGTATTTAACTAAAATATATAATATAAATATATTTCTTTTATATATAATGCTTCACCTTTTATAATGTCATTTTAGATATTCTTGAATTAAAATAATATTCCTAGTGTACTTGAATGATGAGGAGAATATGAGAAGGCATCAGTCCACCTCTTGGGAGAGTATGATGTCCCGCTTTCAGAAGGAAGCACAATAGATAAATGCTTATACGCGATCGCAATGCATTCTTATCCCGGTTGTACAAATTTACAATCTATTGTACTGAATCCCTAATGTCCATATTGTTGTATAACTTTATTATTATACAATTCAACAAATACCACTTAATAACCTGAATTTTTTAGTTATAAACAAATGAAAAAAATTGTCTTAAAAAATATACATTGTAATAAACGTATAGACTTAAATTCGCTATATTGAAAATTCAATTTATTAAATAATTCAAGTTGTTGTAATTCTGAAACTTGCATATTTTGATGATAGCCCCATTAATTTAAATTAGATGTCATAAATATATTAAAATTAAATTCAAATAATCATTTTCATATTTCTATAAATTTAATTTACTGTGATATTAAAATTTTACTAACATTGTATTAATATATTTATATTGTATGTTTTTTACTTAAATAAATATTGTATTCAGCAATTGATACTCAAATATACTCAAATAGTAGTAATTCATATTATCACAGAATTTTAAATACATACTAGGGTTGTTTTATATACAAATGTTAAATACATACTAGGGTTATTTCATTCTTTATGTACAGGAATTCAACATATTATCATAGATAATAACATATTTATAGGTATACATATTTGTGTATATATATTATATATATTTTTTTTTAACGAAGATAAAATTACAGTATATGTATGTACATATTATTTTACAATATTTCTGCAATATGATGATTATATCTTAATATATCAAAAAATCAAATATCATAAAAATCCAATTAATTAGAATTTATAAAATATACATATATACATATATTAGAGAAAATGAAGGTTAAATCACTTACAAGGTTTTATCATGTAACAAAATATTATTATCCTTGACTTTATGACGATTTTAATTATATTCTTCTAAGAAATTTTCAAAGTAAATTTTAATTTTAAGAAAACAATTTTATCAAATTTCTTATTTTAAATAATATTATTTTTTATCATATAATATTCATGTAGTAAATTGTTTATTATTTGAAAATTTTTCGAAAATTAAAATTTCAATTTAAAATTAAATGCAAACTTTGAATAAATTTACTTGATTCGTAACAGATTATTTCAACGTATAAGCAGTTTTTCCTTTAAATCTTATATATTTCTAAAACATTTTAAATTTATTACTTATTATATTTTCAGAAATCATATTCCACATAGATCAACATCATCAAGTTTTGAAAATATATCACCATCAGGAGGTGAAAATATTATTGATGAAATACCAATATCATCGTCATCATCATCATCGTTATCATCAAACAGCAACAATAATAATAATAATTATAATAATAATAATATAGTGGATTATAGTATTCGTGATAATGATTTTAAAGGACATGATCTTATCGATAATATTATGTATATATATTATGGATCACAAAAATCAATTCGTAATGGTATTGGTAGTTCAATTGTTATTGGTGGATCAGTATTGGCATTAGCTGCACAAATCTTATGTTTAATATTAATGATATTACGTAATAGACGTTTGAGACGTCAGAATGCATTATTTTCAATATTTTTCAATTTTGTATTTACGCTATTAATTGCAAATTTAATATTTGTATTAGGTGTACAAGCAACACGTAGTGAATTTCGTTGTGGTGTTATTGCAATTTTATTACATTATTTTCATTTAAGTACAACAATATGGGGTCTAATATATATATATATTATATATGATTATATAGTTAATGATTGTGGTATTAATTTAAAATATAATTATTTTATGGCATATGGTGCACCAGCTATATACGTATTGGTAAGTTTTAAAATTATAACATATAATAAAAATATTATGAATTTTTTAATTAAACTACAAATATTTGTATTAATCCATTTCTACTATAAAACTGTAGCAACTCAAAAAAAAAAATACTATTTTCCAATTAAACATGAGAATTTTTGAGCCTCATATTATAGAAAAAAGTTGTAATTTTTTAACTTAGTTTTAAGTAGAAAATAAATTAGTCTTATTTAATAATTTTAATAAAATATAGGTCGTTACTTTTAAATTTCAATCTACAGATTTGTAAAATATATTCTTAAATAATCCTTTTTTAATAAAATGTGGATACATCTATTAAAATTTAAATATTTATTAAATTTTTCATAATTCAAATTTCAATATTATGAAAGTAAGGAAAAAAATTTAAAATATTGCAAAATTTAACAGGATATGTGAATGAACTTATTAAAATATTTTTATAATTATATTCATGATTCATAAAATATTTCTATTAAATTATGCACATCATTTTATGTTTAAAATGTAAATGAATGCGAAAAATATAAATACGCATACAATAATTTTAATATTGGTTTCGTAAGAGGAATACAAAAATATTATGTAAGATTCAATGAATAATTTTTTTATTTTTATTAAATATTTATGAGCTTATAAAAGCGTAATGTTCAATCATTCAAATATTCAATCAATGATCAAAAATATCAATGGTGGGGTGGGTGTATTCGTAAAAAATACTTATTCGTATTCAAATATTACAAATTATAGTCTTGAATCTGCTGATATTTTAAAAATTGATTGTAAAATTAATGATATCTCTCTTTCTTTTATGTGTGTATACAGGCTACACAGTTCTTCAGTTAATGTATTTCTTAATGAATTCAATAATTTGCTTTTAAATATAAATTCTTCTAATTTGATAATTGTTGGTGACTTCAATTTAGACTCTTTAAGCAATACAGAAAATGTTGATTATTATCTTTCAATTTTAGCCGATAACGGACTGTTTTCTTTTGTTAATGAACCTACTAGAATTAGTTCTGGGTCTTGTTTAGATCATATTCATGCTCGTTTTGGTGTTATTCCTTTGGAGTCGTGTGAAAAGGGTGTGTTTAATTTTGAAATTACAGATCACTGCATGACTGGACTACTTGTTAAGTCTTTAAAGGTTGATAAAGCAAATAACACTCCTATTACTGCTTCCATTACAAAAATAGATTATAATAGACTAAATAACATGCTTCTGTTTGAATTTTGGGATGCTGTTTACAATGAATCAAATGCTAGTTCGGCATACAATAAATTCATTGAAATTTTAAGCAGCTATATTTCCCAATGTACATTTAGCGTTAGACCAAGTGTGAAAAATAAAAAGTTAAAACCTTGGATGAATGATGTCTTGTTGAGAAAAGTAAAATTGAAAAACAAATTAAGAGTTAAGTTATATAAGCACCATTCTAATGTGAAATTGAAAAAGCGCTATAATAAGCTGTGTAAGGTAATTAAGAAAGATATTGCGGAATGCCGAGATAGATTTTATCATAATGAATTTATCAGATGTAATGGTGACATAAAGAACGAGTGGAGGCTAGTTAATAACTTGCTCAACAAGAACTCGAGTAATAATAAGAAATTGGAATTGATGAATAATGGACTATTGTTAACAGATGAGTTTCTAATTGCTAATGAGTTCAATAATCATTTTTCTTCAGTTGCTGTAAAATTGTCTTCTGGTCTGGGTTCTAATAATGATTACAGTACAATGGAAGTAAATAGTATGCGTAACAGCTTCGTTTTTGATAGCTTTTCGGCTCTTGAGCTTCTCCAAATTATCCGGTCTCTAAGTAATTCAAACTCTGTAGGGATTGATAATATTTCCAATAAATTGTTAAAGGAAATTGCTTTTAATATTATAGATGTTCTAGCTTATATTTTCAATTTTAGTGTTCTTTCGGGCGTTTTTCCTGACCAGTTAAAATCTGCGGTTGTAATTCCACTCTTTAAAAAAGGCGATAAATCTGTCACAAATAATTACAGGCCTATTTCCTTACTTCCTACAATTTCTAAAATTTTTGAAAAAGCCATAAAAGTTAGAACTTTAAAATACTTAAATGAATTGAACTTTTTTAGTTCGAAACAGTTTGGCTTTAAAAAAGGTGTATCAACTGAAGATGCGTTATTAAATTTTTGCTCGTTTATAAATGAAGGCCTAGATAACAAGCGAAATTGTGCGGGTCTGTTTGTTGATGTTACTAAGGCTTTTGACATGGTGAATCATGAAATTCTTTTAAATAAATTATTTGCGCTAGGTTTTCGTGGTTTTATGTTTGATTGGTTTAAGTCTTACTTGGAATGTAGAACACAAAGAGTCAAAATTGGTAGCAAACTAAGTAGTATTCAGTATATTAGGTTGGGAGTTCCACAAGGATCAGTTATGGGGCCTATACTATTTCTTATATATATAAATTCACTGTTTGATTTGGAATTTGAGGGTAATTTAACAGCTTTTGCTGACGATCTTGCTATTTCTTATTCTGTCAATAGTCCACTTAATTTAACTTGTGCAATCAACAAGGATCTTAGTTTATTAAGATATTGGTTCTTTCGACATAGGCTTATTGTAAGTGATAAAACTAAATTGATGTTTTTTAATCTTACACAGAAGGAACTTGTTGATATCAATCTTGTTTTTCATTCATCTAGTTGCAAAAATGTTTTTATGAATAGCTGTACTGATCATAATGATGGAAATACACATTCTGCCTATTGTAACTCCGAGTGTTTCTCAGTAGAAGTAGTCAATCAATTCAAATATTTAGGTGTATTTATTGATAGTATGTTGAATTGGTCTGTGCACACAAACGCTCTAAAATCTTATTTGCGGTCTACTTTGCGTAATTTTTATCGTTTGAGTAAAATGTGTTCGCAAAAAATTCTACTGATGCTTTATTATGGCATTTTTCATTCTAAGTTACAATATGGAATAAGTTGTTGGGGTGGTACTTATAAAAATAAAATATATCCACTATTGATTTTGCAAAAATATGTTATTAGAAAAATTTGCAACAGGCATCGTTTATTTCACAGTATGGATTTATTTAAAAATCTAAAAATTCTTCCAGTTAGACAACTTTACTATTACAGGGTTTTAAAGGTTTTTTACTTAAGAGGGGGTTATTTAAACAGTAGAGCTTCAAATCGTTATGGTTTACGTATTAATCAGAGATTTCTAGTTAATGTTCCAGTTTTTAGAACTACAAATTATCGAAACTTTTTTGACATAACTTCTGTTCGCTTGTTTAATAAACTTCCTGAACATATACGTGCTATTAGGAATTTAAACCATTTTGTTAAAAATGTAAAAAAATGGCTTTTAAATTTTGAGCATTTTGAGGTAGATAATTTGTTAAATAGTCTAGTTTGATATTATAAGTATAATATGGATATGTATAATATAAGTAAAATATAGATTTAAAAAATTCTTTAAGTTAATTATTTTTAGTTCAGTAAAGGTAAATTGAAACAAATAATTGTGGAAAATAAAAGAAAAAAAAAAAAAAAAAAAATATAATTTTATTTTAAATGCATATATCATTGTATTTTTCTATTTTTATGGAAAAATATATTAAAAATTTCAATTCATTATAAAAATATTTTATTTTTAGTATCCTTATAATAAAAAGAAGTTACCATACGGTCATAGGTTTTTTAAAGTGATAAAACAATAAAAATAATTTTATGTTCTACATTTATTAATGTTAAAATTTTCTTTCTGTTACAAAAATAAGCATTAGGATTTTTACACATAGAATAACTTTTAGGCGTATGTAGATTTTTTTTTACTTTTAAATGAACTTCCTTGGTAAACTTCTTTAAAAAATTTTATATTTTAAATATTCTAAATTAAACAAAAAGTTTTAGGAAAAATTTAAGAAACTTTCTTGTTCTACATCAAATTCTTAATCCTAAAAACAGGAGTTTTATTCTAATTTTAATTAAATACAACTTGCATATTATACAAAAATAATATTTTAACAAAAATACCTACATATATGCTTACAATATAATAAAAAAAAATTATATTTATCATATTTTATATACAGTTTTCTTGTGCAATATCAAGTTCAAGTTATGAGACTGTTGAATTCTGTTGGATGTCAGTACATCGTGGAATGATTGTCAACTTTATGATACCAATATCAGGTATTATATTAACATCAACTGTACTTGGAACCCTATGTTTAAGAGAAATCGCAACAAAACAACGTGAAGTAATAGCTGAAAGTATTGAAAATATTCTTGAGGTAAATTAAAATTAATGCAATCTTACATATAAACATTAAGCGTATACATTTAAGATTCTACAAATTATTAATATTAAAAATATTTTTAGAATGCTGCAAAATGTCATGAAATAAATAATGCTGCAACTGTTATTGAAACAGATAAATGTTGTGAAATAGAAGAAAGGGTAAATTTAATTATTATTAATACTTATTCAGAGTAAATTCAATTATTACTAATACTTATTTAATTATTACTAATACAATATGCATAAATAATTTTGTTTTCAATTTATTACAAATATAATTTATTTAACTTCTTTTTTTTTTTAATTAGGCAACTGAACCTTGCAAAAAAAATGACTTCTATGATTCAAAATTTGATTTAGGTGTTTTATCAATTGTTGATTTATCATTACAAAGTTCAGCTGACACCCAAGATTTTACAGATTTTAAAAGATCAATTAAATTCTGGTTATTTTTTCAACCAGCATTCGCATTATGCTGGTTTTTTGGTACAATTGCAATGGAAAATCGTCAAACGTATATTATGCCAATTATTTTTATAATATCATGTAATATTATGGTATGTATAAAATAATATAATATTTTACACTATCATACTATATATATATATGCAGTAAAATATAATTATAATTTTTTTTTTTATTTAATTTATTTTTAGAATTGGTATCTTTTGATAAGATCACCATATATTTGTCCAATTATTCAAGATCAAAATCAAAAAGAAAAATTTCCTGTTAATGATACAAATGAGGAATCACAACAACATGTTCAAGGAACTGATACGATACCATTATTATGTACACCAAATTCAAAATTGCAAAATCCCAAAATATCGAATATTATCGAGGATAGCATGAACGAACAAATAAATAATTTAACAGTGAATTGGGGTGATTCATTAGGTGATATATCAATTAATTTAGATTCAATTAGTACGATAAGCAGTTAAAATGGGAAATAAAAAATACTCATTATTAAAAATTTTAGATTTAACTAGAAATGATTATAAAATAAAATATTGCATTTATATACATAATACATAATGATAATACATAATAACATGCGTAGATAAAATATTAATACACAATTTACATATTTACATACATTATATATATAATTACATTTAAAAATTACCTTTATGATATTTTAAAAATATAAAAATTAACAATTTGTTGTAATCAAATAAGTAAGTTCTAAAGTAATTACAAATTTTTTTAAAATTAATATAAAATTTATTACATTTTATATATGAATGTAACCTTTGAAATTATAATTATTTATTAGATATCGTCAAAAGTGCAACTGCATTAAATTTAAAAAATGTTATTTCCATTATACACAGTTTCTTTTCTAAAAAGTGCGCGATAAAGAAATATTTTCTAGCAAAGCAGGTATGACTGTTTAAACTTTAACAGTTTAAAAAATTCATTCTAGACCTTCAATCATTTAAAGACCTTTATCTACCAGACATTAAAGTCTTTAAACTTTAAGCTATTAATAATTTATTAAAAAAGTCTATATCTAAAAAATTTTTATACAACACATTTGATGATATAAAGTACATTGTTATAATATTTAAATTTAAAAAATATTTTAAAATTAAAAATATTTTATATTGTGCTAGTACCTTGTTTTTATCGAAACTTCTTTTTTACCTTATTTTTATAAATATGTATATTTTAAAATAAACCAAAAAATTTTAATATAAGAGTTGAATTGGTATTTAACATACATAATGTAGGTATTTTATTTTTAAGTACAAAGTATTTAAGTTATACCAACTTAAAATAAAAACATAATAAAACTACAAATAAATACATAATAGTTTTACTTACCAAAAAAACACGTTTTATAAAAAATATCATTGTAAATAAACATATTAAATAAGAAAATAAAAAAATAGTAGTAAAAATTTTAGAATACAAAAAACTTTGGTAGAATAAAAACATAGAAAATTATTCAATAAATTTATAAAATAATTGTTAGCTATAAATTAATATAAAACAGAATAAATATTTACATACATGTTAGAAAAATGTTTATATATATATACATATTATAAAAAATATAAATTAAATAAAAAAAAAGTAATAAACCATAAAACAGTAATTTTCGTTGCATATACAATTCAAAATTGTATTATTAAAAAATAATATTTCAATTTACATTTCTTACCGATTAATAACTTAAGTGATTCACCTTACCTTATCATACTATTACCATTAAATAAATTGTAAATTTTGAAATTAAAGCTGACTTCACTCTAAATTTAGTTGAATACTTCCACAAAATGAGATGATAATAGATTACCTCTTGTCACAAGTTATTTCAAGAGGTACCATGAAATTAAGAAAATTCTTTACATCTTTATCGTTATTTCTTTAACTGTTATTATATCGTTGTTGCGTGTTTTGATTAGACACAGTTTCGAATGTGAAAAAATATTTTTGTGGAAATATAGACCCAAACATATCAGTTACAAGTTCTTATACACTTTGTTCTTTATGATTCGGCTCTAGGCTAGGAATAAAATTGCAAATATATATGTATATGTATTAAAGTACTTGCAAAAATTGATGAATTTCTGCCTTAATTTGAAACATATTTTTTTATGGTTCTTTTCATCTGTACCTTTCTATAATTTCAGCTATTTCCTATAGTCAGTAAATTATGAAAAACACTTCTGTATATTTGCAATAATATATGGAATCAAACTCAATAAAAAACTTTGTGAAAAAATAAACTAAAATATATTATGTATATTAAAACTTAAATTCATTAAATTGTATATAAAAAAAACAACCAATTACAAATTTTTTTACAATATGACTTTACAATTAATCAAAAAATAACATTCTTAAGTACATACATGAAATGCTAAATTGTCAACAAAAGGCCTTAAGTTTTGAAAAATTCTAGAGAGAAATTTATTTTCATTATCGAAGGAATGAATATAAATTATGTATGTAAGTATTTGAACTAGTAAATTTCAATTTTGTCTTTTGATTTTCAATAACATATAAAAAAAAAAACAAATTTTTAAGTCTTTGCAAAATATAAAATTCTCAACATAATGTTCCTTTAAGTAACTAATATTTATTTAATTTAACTATGTATTTCTTTAATTTCTAATATTAAAAAGGATTTTGTGCTTTTTTTATATAAATTAAAAAAAATTTAAAACTTATAAAGCACTAGATCGAAAACTGAATACGTTGTAAACTGATTAAATGTCATGATATAATTTTATCATCTCTGCTCTAAAAATTTTGTAAAATTTATGTAATCGTACTTGAAATCTTATATATGTACATAGCATTTTTGACAAGAATATTGAATAAATTTAATATTCTAAATAATTACTTAAATTACCAAAATCTACTTGTTTTGTAAATATTCTACGTTTGTCTTGAAAATTGATAATTTATCTAGATTTGGCATGCACTAACATCATAAACGATGTTATAATGAAAATACCAGCTGGTATTGAAGCTAATAATTTATATCTTTCTTCAGTCATAGCTCTTCTAGATTTTTGTTTCACCCAACCTAAACTACGATGAATAGCTTTCTTCCATTTTGTATAACGATGGTCACGCTCGTCATCAGTTGTTGTTGGTAAAAATGTGTCATAATAGTTATTTTCATAGTGCCTAAAATAAATTTATTCATTTTATTTAAAGTTTATTTAAATCTAAGTTTATTTAAATGATCATTTACCTTTTTCCTAAATCTAGTTTCACAGCATTAATACCATCAGCTTGTGCCGCACACATTGCTGCACCAAATGTTGTAGTATCACCTAACTGCGACCGACCTATACAATTTAAGAACATTCATCAGTTTTAAATTCACTCCTAATCTTAAAAGAATAATATACTTACAAACTGGAATACCCAAAATGTCTGCTTGCAGTTGCATTAGTAATGCATTTTCACTTAGTGGCCCATCAGCGTACAATTTGTTTAAAACAATACCACAGTCTTTTGTAATACATTCAATGATGTCACGGTTTTGAAAACAAATAGATTCTAAGGCAGCTCTGATAATGTGATTTTTAGTTGTTTGATGAGTTAAGCCACATATTGTTCTACAAAAATTATATTTGAGCAAATTTTTTCATCTTCCAATCAAAATAAAAATTACCCCCTTGCATCTTTTCTCCAATAAGGACTATATAAACCAGTAAAAGCTGGCACAAAATAAACATCTGCTGTAGAATTAACTAAATTAGCACATTTTTCAGCATCCTCAACATTTCCTAAAATTTCTAAATTATTTTGCAACCATTTTAATGCAGCCCCAGCAACTGCAACAGCACCTTCCAAAGCATAAGTACAAGGACTTTCTTTTCCCAATTTATATGCAATAGTTGTTAAAAGACCATGCTCTGAAAAAATAAGCTAAAAGCAAAAGTTATAAAATTCGTAAAAAAAAAGAAAATACAAATTGCTTTTACCTTTTCCCCAGTATTGCACAAAAGAAAACACCCTGACCTATAAGTTGACTTAGCTTGTCCTGGTTTAAAGCACATTTGGCCTAATAAATTTGCTTGTTGGTTACCTAAAATCTAGTAAAAGATAATTTTTTACTTCCACTTATAATTCAATATTTTAATTAAATTTTCTTACTCCACTTATATTAATTCCATGAATAGCGCTATTATCTTTAACTTGACCATATATTTCTGAAGAACTTCTTATTTCTGGCAACATTTTGGTATGAATTGAAAATGTTTTTGTTAAAATCTAAAACCAGCGAAAGTATGCTGTAATAAAAATGAATTTTAAGAATAATAAATATTTTACTGGATCCCAATGCAGAGTCTCAATATTCATTAATAACGTTCTAGACGCATTTGTAACATCAGTTACATGAAGTCCGCCATTTACCCCACCAGTTAAGTTCTAAATATGGGCAATATGAAGAAAAAATATTAACTACGATACTTTAGGAAGATAAGTATTGCGTTTTTTAATGAAAAATAAAAATTATACTTACCCAAACAATCCAAGAATCTACAGTGCCTGCTAAACACCTTCCCTCCCGGCAAGCTTTTTTAACTGCTGGAATATTATCTTTTAGCCATCGAATTTTAAGAGCCGAGAAATAAGGAACTATAGGCAAACCTAGAATAATAATTTTAGCTTTTGATTATCATGTTCAATATAAAATTCATTTTATTACCTACCACAAATATTTTTGAAATGATTTTTATCTTGTTCTGGAATTCTAGCTAAAATTCTATCTACCGTAACATTAGTTCTGATGTCATTCCAAGAAATTGCATTGTGTAATGGTTGACCAGTTATTTTATCCCAAACTATTGTTGTTTCTCGTTGATTTGTTATACCTATTGTAACTATTTCGCTTACATGACGGTCTAAATCAGTAAGTCTTTTACAAACCTTCTCCGTACAAGTATGAATAGCTTCAATAATATCAATTGGATTAATTTCAAACCAACCATCTTGTGGTATTAGAACTTTTAGTTCTACTTTGTCAGAGATCAATTCTTTAAAATCTGGCGTTGTATAAACCTTAACAAAATTTTTAAAATTGATTTTTATTTAATTATTTAAAACTTTATGTTATGTAACATTACATATTATATTTTCAACTTACCGAAAATGATACATGGTTAGTTCCTGCATTTATTACACCAATTAAATCCGTTTGGTTACCGGCAGACATGGAAATAGCCTGAAAATTAATATAAAAAAGAAAATATAACATTATAAGAAAAAGTTAAAGCTTTCAATAGTTTATCAATAAAATTGTTATCTAAGAAACGAAATATTCTGAACTTCTGATAACATTGATATAAAACATGACAGGTATTTCGAAGATAAAATTATAATTAGAATTTGAACTTTTTTTATTGTTAACTTATAAAAATTTATACTTTGAACCTTTTCTGATGATTCTAATAGTTCCCACGCTTGTATCATACTTTGAGACGGTAGTCTTTTGCGAGGTGTTACTGGTGCTTCAGACATTTTATTTCCTTATTTTTTTTTAAACAAATCAAATTTTCTAAACAGGATTTATTTTTCTCGAATTGCTTTCTTGAATTTATCGAAAATTTAATTATTCGGTTTTATCGCAAAATAAGCAACTTTAAATATGTATTTTTTTCTTCTCTTTTTGTTTTTTTTATGTTGGTGATATAACAATTCTCCAGTATAAAAACTTATAGCACGTTGCAAAGTACAATAACATAAGCGGTCAATTAAACAGAAAATACTGACTATGATCAAATCTTGACCAATTGATTTAATCAATCATTCTACTACTCTAAGTATTGATAAGAATTTAAAAAAAAAATTATTTACACTCAGTTTTATTTATTATCAAAAAAATATAAACACTTTGGATTTGGATTTTGTTATTCACCACGAAAACATTTCAAATTCAACAAAGTTAAAAAAAAATGTTAAAATGTCAAATCTCCAGTCAAAAACATCAGTGGAATATCGGTCAGTAAAAAGTACTAGATATGTTATGTACGTTTAGTACAAAATGATGAAAAATTTTTTATATTAAAATTAACTTAAAAAAATTAATGTCAAATAAATTTTAATTAATAATATTTTTATTTTTAAAAAATTTTATTATCAAAAGCAACCGAAATATTTTACATACTTATCACAATGCGCAATATTAACGTATTGATATCTGCTAGGTTAAGACGACCAAGACAAAAATTTAATAGAGCTTGCCGCATTCAAAAAATATTTTTATTAGTACGAGTATGTATTTTTCTTCTTATTTTTTATAATTGCAAGACACGGAAAGAGAAAACAGTTTGCCTCATGTGCAATTTATCAAGTTTTTTCTGCATAAAGAACAAATTATGATGTTGGTCGATAAAATGATTCCAATATACTTTTGACACATCTTTTTTATGTAGGAGTTGATTTGAATATATAATTATTAATAACTTACGATCATTTATAAGGAGAGATAAGTAAGCATTGTAATAGAATTTTAAGAATTCCCTCTTTTTTTAAAACAAATACTAAACATTAATAAAGCTTTAGTATTTTCATTATGCATGTTTATTCGTTTTTTCCTTATGTGCATATGTAAATGATTACGGATGTTTGCAAATATAAAAATATACCTATAAAAGTTTTCAAAAATTGGTAAAATATGCTTGTAAATAGGTATACCCGAATGTTATCAATCTCGTATTATAGCTAAATTATTAAGTAAATGCTAAACTTTAGATATTGAATTTTTTGATTAGTCAATTACTTAAATATTTATGCAGATGTTAGTAAAATTGAAATATAAATTATGACTACACTTAACTTGCATTTCAGTAAAATATATTTCTGAAACTAAAAATACTTGCATGGATTTTACGATAATAACATCAATTTATTAATTAGCGCCTTTTAACCTATTGAACTAAAGACTTGACAGCAATCAATATGCATATAAATGTATGTACAAACAATACGCCACTTCTTATTAATTATAATTTCATAGCCATATTCGCTATAAAAAAACGGAGAGGTTAAAAAAATGTCAAATTAATACTAATTTTAAATTTTTCTACTAATTTTTACTAAATAAAAATATTTAAATTATTAATTTCCACATACATATGTACATATTATTATTTTTTTTTTTTGGCAAATAAAATATTGGAAATTTTACAAAATATTTAAAAAATTTGATTTATTTTACGTTATTTTCTTTTTTCCTACGTAACGTCTAAAGTATATGTATGTATATATGTATAAATTCATATGATATTATAATTTATATATATATATAAATATATGTATGTACAACTATATAAAATCCTTTACATACAAATAATACTAATTTTATTTTAAAATAGTTTGGAAGGTCAAATAGCTTTTGTATGAGGTATTAATTAAAAAATTATAATATATATATACATATACATACATATATTTTTTTTTTTCAAAATACATACTCCGAAAAAAAATTACCAGAAATGAAATTTGAATTATGTGTTACGACATTTATTACGACAGATTGTTATACAATAGTTTGTTTGTGGAGCAGTTGTCCACACTTGTGCTAATTAAAATCGACTTGCATACACACACTCCCTTATTTTTCAACTAAATTGTTGAAATATTCGGTTAAAACAAACTTTTACAGAAAAATTACAGTTGTAACTTTGCTTCACTCCTTTTTTATCTTTAAAAACAACTTAAATAACAACAATATGGAAGGTAATCAAATCATAATACTTATACTAGGTATAATTTTATTTATAAGCAATGAATGATATTTACATAACCATTGTGTATAAATAAATGTTCAAATAAAATAATATATCAAATTGCCATTTTAAGGATATTTAAATTAATCTTGGAACATATTTTGAAATTTGGAAAAATTAAAATAAAAAATTGTATTTATTCTGAATGTTTTTGTTATCTACATTTTGTTACAATTCCAAAATATTTTCCAAATTATAAAAGAAAATTTGCAGGGCTCATAACTTTATACATAAAGAAGGGAAAGGCTTTGACGTTTTCGGAAAATATGTTTTTTTTTTTATTTCAAAAGCGCGCTTAACAAAAAAAAAATTTTAAAGTAGTCAAAGTTCAAGTAAATACAACAAGAAATTTTCTAGATAAATTTATAATTAATTTATTTTAAAAAAAATGCCGAAAAAAGAAGAAAAAAAAAAAACTAAAATAAAATATTGCAAACGGTAGACGCTTTTTATAAAATATTTTCAAGAGCAAGGGTATAAAATGATAAAAAGCGGCAAATCGTCATCATTGCACAATTGAAATTCAAAATGGTAATGAATGAAATAAAAATAAAAAATTTTCGAAGCTTTTAAAATAAATTTTATTTTATTTTTTCTTGTGTTGTGTTTCAAAATTTATTATGTAAATTTTATATTATTATATGATAATATACGTAAGTTCATTTATCCATAAATAAATGGTGAGATCGTTATAAAAAAATAAACTAATTTGTTTAAACATATCTAAAAGTTTTTTGAAAATAAAGTAAATAATCCTTATTTTTATAAACTAGTAAATGAATCGGGAAATTTCTTTTAAGGAAATTTCAAGATTAATTATAAGAATTAAGGTATGTATATTAAGTTTTAAATATAAGCAAACATGAAATTCAAAATGAAGATTACAATATGTACTCATACATACGAGTATATTAAATGTAGTAAAATTTTACATAACAATTGAAAATATTTAATTATAGTTTTTATTTTATTTAACTCAATAGATCTACTTGTCTGTCAAAGTTAAGTTTATAATTTCTAAAAGTTAATAATCAAATTAGAGAATGTTGTGTCATTTTATTACTTTCTTTTAAATATGCAATTAAATAAAAATTAAAACAAAAAACTTTTAAGTATTAGGCCCTAATTATGATATTTAAATAAGTATACTTACATACATATATTATATAAGGCAAACATTGCAAAGTATAATTAAATGGAATATTTGAATAATTTAAAAGGTTTAATTATTTAATTTTATTTGTTTTTAGAAATGCAAGTCTTCATTACAAGCCCAGTTTTATTAAAAACAAATAAATTATAATTTTAATAAGAATTTTTTTAATATAAGTAACAATTATGAAAAAAAAAACAAATACACAATTCTCTAATTTTTATTACATTTTTATTGAAAACTGTAAGATTATATAAGCTTAAATATACTCATAATATTAAGTAAATTGCATTGTAAATTGCATGTAAAGTAATAAAATACTTGAAGTTATCATGATCTATATTTGCGATAGAAATTCAAGGTTACAAAAACACAATAATCCTCATAAGTAAATATTAAATTATAAAATGTTTATTGTAATAAATTCTATTTTAATCTTCAATATATATTAGTTATTACGATTTTATTTACTTTATATTTCAATTCGACAAAAACGTTCAACAAATCATTCACACTATGAGTTGCAGTAAAATTAAATTTTTATATTACTAACTCATATTATTGAAAACAAAAAGGATTCAAACACAAACGATTTACATACGTACATATGTACATATGTATAAACAAACAATATTATTTATTAAGTGTACCTAACATTTATTTAAAAATGTACATATACATAACGTAAAAATAATTTTGACGAGAAAATAGTTGGCCGAACTCAGTAGAATTCACTTTGACTACAAAAAAAATAAATTTTGAAAAGTCAAGAAATATAAAATTCACATTACCGCTTGTATTTATATATTATACGCGCTTCAATTTCCGCAATCTTTTCTCTATCATTTATTCCGACCTTGAATTTTTGTATATAAGGTTGAATATAATATGTATCCGTTTTAGAGTAAGCTTAAACGGATACATATTATATTATTATTTATAGGTATGCTTATACATATATTAAAAAAGTAACGTAAAACGTATTATAATACACTTGTCAAAATATACGTTAATTCATAGAGGGCAGTATAAATGACTAAATTGCATTTTTAAATGTAATGCAAATTACTTTAGCATAAACGTAAAATAAGAAAAATATTATATTGAAAAAAATATTCTGTATTTTATCGAAGCTTTCTTTAAAAAGTAAAAGTACAATGATCCCTTATAAAGTTAATTGATGTAACATATTTCTTTCAAATCAAGAAAATAAACATACTCGTACAAATACATACACACACATTTATCAGTAAAAAAAACTTTAAAGGAAAACCTCTAATCATAAATTTTTTTTTGTAAAATGTCAATATTAAAGTAATCACGTGTTTTTAATTGTTGCCAAATTGTCCGAACAATAAAATTTTCCTTCAATGAATTTTTTTTTTCTTTTTATAACTATTTTGTATTTTTGATTTTATATTATTTATTGCAAATTCTATTTCAGTTACTCTGACTATTTTTAACATAAAATTTTTCTTTGAAAATAGAAAATATAATATTTGCTGTCAGACAAGTATATAAATGTATGTATATATTTAAATTGACAGTAGATATATGTATGTATAAAATCAAAAATAACCAAAAACATTCGATTTAAAATAATGTCATCCAAAACAACAAACTCAACAATAACAATAATAATGAAGAAAAAAAAATTATATGACACCTGTTTGACCAAAATTAAATTCACAATATACATATGTACCTACATACGTAAGTACATAAATGATATCACACAAGGCACATTGAAACAATTATAGAGCAGATGCAAAGAATAACGTTTACGGTTCTCAATAATATATAATTATAATTTATTAACGTTAAACGATATTGTCACAAGTTATATCTACTTATGTATGTACATAAGTATAATGTATAACACATTAAATTAAATAATAAAATAAGTAAAAAAATTATTTTTTTAAGAAAATTTTTAATTTTAATTATACATGTGTATGTATGTAGGTGCACTTGAAAATATCAGTGGGTAGGTAGCTTATTTTTTTATTTTATTATTTTATAAAAAAAAATTCATATAATATGGTAATAATTAAAAGGAAATTTGTTTTAACCTTCACCTAAGACGGATAATGAGATTATAAGGAATACATAAATATATAAAATATGTATATGTAAATATTTGCACTAAGTATAAGAAAATATGTAAATAAAAATTGCATATAAAAATATTTGAAATAAAATTTTACAATTGAATACTATGTACACACATATGTACGAGAGGTATGTATATATACAAGAGGTAAATAAATTTCTTTAATTTTGCAATAATAAAATTTTTTTGGTTAATCTTCTGTAAATTTTTTATGGATACTTTTCATACATATGTTATCTAAATTACAATATACATTGGTATGATAAAATTGAATATTTTGAGTGAATTGATAATAAATCGCAATTTGCTATACAACTATACATACATATCCATACATATTGCATAATATTTATGAAAATTTTTCATATAATTTTTTTGCCAAAATATTTAGGGAAAAAACCCATATAAAGATTACTAAATGTATAATATGTATGTATGTACATTTATATTAAAATTTAATCACTTTATTACTTTGTCACGTATTTTATTACTTTATACTCCTACACCTGTAAATGCTTATCGCATGTAAATATATTATGTATTTTGATAAAATTATAATTTGATTTTTGCACATCATTTCAATAATACTTAAAAATATTTAAGTATATCAGTATGGATAAAAGTATGTATATTATACCTATATATACATTTTGTATATATATAACGGTTTAAACGGATGGTTAACGTAACTGGTTCATATATGAGTATTATTCACAATAATTAAAGTAATTGAAATTTTCTAATACTTTAATACCTATAGGTAATTAATTATATTTTAAATAATTACTAATTACTTACATAGGTAATTACTAATTACTTATAGGAATTTTAAATAATTTTACATTGAGTTCAACTAATTGATCGTTTTACTTAGTATCATTGTTTCTTAATATGTCCAAATGTAAATTTAACATCAACTTAACTAATTCAGGCATATACATATACATTAATATTTTCAATTAATAAAAGTCGCGTTAGATTTGTGTTTAAGCTCGTATATAACATTAATTTTTTACTATTAAACACGCTTATTGTTATCATCCTAAAACTAGTATACCTGCATTATTTTGGAATTCATTAGCAAGTTTAGATTATCAGCAATTTCTAATTTTTATTTGAATTCATTTTTTTCAAGTTAGAAATTGTAATTTTTTATTGAAATTCATAAATTATTCGTTAAAACGTTTTAATTTCATCTTATTTCGATTCACTCACCTAAAATTTTTAATTCCCACTCTTTAAGATAAAATTCCGCGAATTTCAATAATAATTTGAATATTTCTATTTATTTTATTTCTTTTATTTAACACTTTTTTATTTCAGGTATAATAACCAGTTGAGGAAAAAAAAATTGCCGAATAAAAAAATCAAAACAAATTATAGTTTCAAATTTTATCAAATTTGCATTTTATTTAAGTTATTTATTTACTTTAAAAAAAAAACACAATACAGAATCTCATTAAAAATTTTATTCAAAAACTTTCTCTTAGAAATAAGGTATATTGTATTTTAAAAGAGATTTTAAAAAAACAAAACACGTGAATAAATAAAATAAACGCTATTTTTTATATTTATCTTCTTTTTTCTTTTTTATTAAGCTTTTTTAGTTACCGCAGCACAATTAAAACCATCTAATATGAACGATTATTAATTTAATACTAAACAATTAAGAAAAACAAAAAATAAGTATGTATGAAAAAAAACCCCAATAACAAAAATAAAAGAACGTGTATCGAGTTGAATTTTTTAGAAAAAAAAAAAAGAGACAAACAAAATGAAGCAAAAATATTACACGTAAGAAGAATTAAATGTTTTTGTTTATTTTTTATTCTTCTTTTATTTAACTTCATTCATTTTGCTATATTAAAGCTTGCAATCGTAAACCCATAAATTTTGTATACGATTCTTATCATCATTATGAACTTTACAACAAAAGAAGCAAATCGAAAAACATTCGAGAGAACAGTGTATTTTTTAAAAACTTGTTGCTATTCAATTGAACGGTACAATCTTAGGGTATCATTTTTTTTTTAAACTAAATACTACAACTTCAAAATTGTATTAATACGAAATCTAGATATAAATCAGTTTATGAGTTATAATTGCTGAATTGCTGAATACATTATTACTACAATTTTGAAATCATTGATAACATTTGCAAAGTTATTGCAGTTGAATACTATAAGTTCAAAATTGAATTAAAATTTGTTTCGTAATTGCTTAAGCTATATTAAAAATAAAATATGAATTGAGCCAGATTAAAAAACTCTTAATTCGAATTATACATTTTTACTGAACAATTTAGGAAGTGTTACTTATTAAGTGAATTAAGTATGTAGTAATTTTAAAATTACTACTTTAATACAATTTCGATGACGATTCTGTGTCTTAAGACAATAAAATCATAAACATGTGTATATGTATATTTTATATTAATTCTGCAATATTTTTATATTAATTCTGCAAACTGAATTTTTGATTTCGTATTAAATTGCAGTATTATTATGCATAAATTAATATTTTTCAAATGATACTTAATTTATAATTTATTAAAGAAAATTACTATTAATATTATGTACTTTAGAAATTACAATCTGTACAGAAGGTCGCATAATTATATGAATTAAAATTACAAAATATTTTGTTTATGCTAATACATGTAATATTCATAAATAAAAAATTAAATCTATAAATAAAAAACAAGTTACTCTTTTTAAAAGTTATTTAAAAAAAAAAGAACAAATAAATAAATAGTACAATAATTTGTAATTTAGTTCAATAACCATAACATAATTTCCAAATAGATATTGTATATGTGTACATGTATATGTTACATAAACTTGCAAAGTAAGTATATAGTAATAGATAACATGTAAAGTAACCAATACAGGTTTTCTCATAAACTTAATTTAGAAATTCTAAATATGTTATAATTATAAATAACCAAATAATTCATTATATTTAAAATAAAAATAATCTGTTTGTGATGTATACATATTAGATTTGATAATTTTATCAATCAAAATGCATATGTTACGGTGATACTAAAATACGATAAATAAAAATTGTTGTTTTAAATCTTTGCATATTAGATGTTAGTTCTCTCTTTTATACACATATTATTATCGTGAAACAAATCTCTTTTCAATGTAAATTTTAGATGTTTACCAATCTATACAAATGTAAAATTAATCTGCAATTCACTTTATTCGTCAATAATTAACATTGTACATTTGTATGTATATTGTTTTACAAGTATTGTTGCAATTAAATCTACATTTAATATGTCTGAAAGTAATTATGTGAAAAAAATCTTGTCTTTTACATAAACGCAAATTAATCTGCAATGCTTTTTATTCAGGATTACAGTACTTTTATGAAATTCATTCGTTGCAGATGGTAATCACCCCAACCCCCTCTTTTTAATCAATAATATTGAATTATTTATTTGATTAAATTTAATTTGATATTACATATTTCAAATTTTCTGAAAAAGTTTTCTCAATTAGAAAATAATGCTCATAAAAATTCATAATATTCTTTTACAGAAAAGTTTAAATTTATTTAAAATAGAGAAGTAGAAAATATTCACATACGTATTAAGATTACAAATGTAATCTTAAACAATAATAAATTTTAATGTTCAAAACGGACAATTAAATTTTGAAAGTGTATTCGAAAATATTCTAAACTGAGCACAAAAAATGTTAGAATAAAATAAATTGTGAATAAAGATGATTATGTGTTTGTGAATATACACATATTTACTTATGTATTTTGTTGTTTATCTCATAGCATTTTTTACATTTAACATTTCTTTGGGGGCGCGTTTCGACGATAACCTACAACATTATTCATAGAGCTTTTTTAACAATATTATTATATGCACTTATCTTAAGTTTTGTTGCTTTTCTTCTTTTATTAATAGATATTTAAAAATTGATAAAGTATACTTATAGTATTTTTATTTCTAATTTAGTGTTTACAAGGCTATCAAAAGCTTCTCAGTTACAACATAATAAAATTAGATAAGATTTGAACTTTTTCAATTTACACACACAAATTTCGCATTATCAAAATATGAGAATTTCCTGTAAATTTTTATGACTATGAATACAAAAATGTGTTCAGTAATTTTTTTTTTTATAAAATAAACAAAATATAATTAACACTTGCAAGAAATATTAGGGAATTTCATGCTCACTGCACCGAACCTCTGATCTCCTGATACTAACAAGTCGGTCAAGTTCTTCATTTGTAATTTTGTAAAAAGTTCTTCATTGAAATTTTGTAAAAATTTATTTAAATCCCTACTGTTTTAAATTATTTATTATTCACGCCATTTTATAAAGAAAATAGCGCTTCATACACAGAACCGTTAATAACCCAAAGAAAACTATACGTAATTTTTCTCGTTTTGCTATGTTACTATGGAAAACTATATTATTAGGTAAAAAATACAGTGTAGCATAGAAACCATACAAGGAACTAAGTAAGGCAAGAAAAATTTTGTAGCTATAAAAATTTCAATATCAATCTTCAATTATCCTTATAGTGATTCGCTACTTTATAAATTAATTTTGAATAAGTAAACATTCAATCATGTCTAATCAATTCTACAATAATATTTGGCATGAATCACAAAAAGATTTAGAGATATTAGCTTCATTTGATTCCGAAAATCAAACTGTTGATCCATTTGCTGATAAGTCACAGGCTCAAACAACAACTTTTGAATTATATGTTCGGTAAAATTAAACTATATGCTAATATAGTTACTATATTAGCTATAATATAGTAACTATTACTTAAATTATTATACTTCTATACTTAAATTATTATGTTTTTATTTAAACTCTATAAGGTATATTAGGATCACCAACAATTTGGAAGAGGCTTATGATAAAATGGTTCAACCACAGAAACGTTTACTTATACGGAAACTTTTAGATGCTTGCTTAGGAAGAATTATAGAAATAAAGCATGATCTTGTTAATCTTGACATGATGGAATTTAGTTACAACGACAAAGTAATGGAGAAACTTAAATTAACTCCAATGGACGTAGAGTTAAGAGTTCCAAGATACTTTAAAAGGGAAAGGGAAAAAGAAATTCAAGAACGTAAGAAAACCATGAATGAAATTTTAAATAAGCTTGGCTGGCTTGATGATAGCTCAGCTAAAGAACGTTTAAATGAACTACAAGCAATTAAAATTATTCAGGTTCACGAAAGAGCTCGGCAAGGTCGGCTCAGGTAACAATGCAAACTAGATTAGCCTTCAAATTCTCTTAATTAAACGTGTTTACAATATGATATTTAAATAAGAAATTTTTACTATTAGAGCTCATTTTATGAAAGAAATTCGAATTTTAAAAGAAAAGGGTAAGTCCGAACTAAGAAATCAAGCTGAATCGGGGTTGATAGCAGCTATGAAAATTCAAAAAGCTTGGAGAGGCTATGCAGCTCGCAAAAAAACGAGACGACGCAAAATGGAAGAAATGATTTTGATTGGAATGATACCACCAGCAAGTAAGAAAAAGTCTGAAGCTATCGAAAAAATGAACGACGTAGGAAATTTTTTTTTATGTTCCAATATTTTAATATGGTTACAATACGTATACATATACATATGTATGTATAATTTTTAAAATTTTAGATAATTGCGGAACGGTATAAAACCCAAGAAGAATATAGAGAAAAATTTGAAGTGGCTTTAAAAAATGTAAAAGAAGAAATTAAAAATAAGCAGGGTGCTGTTTTAATGGAAGATATGGCTGATGATATTAGAGCTTGGATTAAAGATAGTTACGAGAAAACAGGAAAATTTCCAGATTTTCCTTCAGAAGATAGTGGAGGATCTAGACATATTTTTAGTAGTAGACAGGGTAATATATTCAATATGATAATGCCAAAAAATTCAACTTTCTTAATTAGAATTTAATTCTGTTATTTAAACCCTCTGAATAAAGGGACTGAAAGTGAGATGAGTAGATCTTCAGCAAAATCTTCATCAAAAGAATCAAGAAAAACTAAAGACAAATCTAAGAGTCCCGCTCGCAGTGGCGATTTGAATATTGCTGAAGATAATTTGGAAGAGGGCTTTCATCCAACACCGTCCGTGTTTTTGCCAGATCTTAAAACCGGGGCGGAAGAGTACTTTTCATTTGAATTTCTCTTATAGAGCCTTTAATGCAATAATCAATATTAAATGTATTCTTTCCAGGTTTGTAGAAGTTTGGAAAAATAAAGATGAAAGCGAAAACACAAAGCAAACGCATTATGATGACATGATATATACAGAAAAATATAATGAAGTTGAGAGAGAATTAAGAAAAATAGTTGATGATTTAATGCGTCAAGAACTTGAGCAACTACAGGCTGCTTTAGATAGAGACCGTGCAGCCCGTGGTAAAAAAGCAAAAAAAAGTACAAAAAAAGCAAGGAGATCTGGTAAAAAAAGTAAAAAGAAAAAAGAAAAAGATCTTACACCAGACCGTACCACCGAATCTCTTTTCGAGGAGTTGGTAACAAATGGGATAATAAAAAAATATCCTGAAACTCCATTGAGTAGTTATTTGGGTGATAAAGCATATGCAGAACGTAGTGGTACAAATCCTACACCTGGTGATATAAGGCAATTACTGATTGAATACTGTATATTGCCACTGGGTTCAGATACTATACGTAATTATTGTCCAACGATTCGTTCCATATTACTGACTGGATCTAAAGGAGTCGGAAAGAAGGCTCTTCTTCATGCGATCTGTACAGAAGTTGGAGCTGTACTTTTCGATATAACACCGGCAAATATTGTTGGAAAATATCCTGGAAAATCAGGTCTTATAATGTTACTTCATCTAATATCAAAAGTTTCTCGATTACTGCAACCTTCAGTTATATTTATGGGTGATGCGGAACGCCCCTTTATGAAGAAAGTTCCAAAAACCGATCGCACGGATCCAAAACGTTTAAAAAAAGATCTTCCAAAAATAATAAGAAATATAAATGTCGAAGATCGAGTTATATTTATAGGCACATCTAATTTACCATGGGAAGCTGATCAAAAATTACTCCAGCAAACATATAATCGTTTTATATACTTACCAAGACCAGATTATGGAGCACTTTCATTTGCTTGGAAAGAGCTTACAAAGTAGTTAATTAAAAAGAATCAACAATTTTTACAAAATGAATCAACAATTTTTTGGAATCTGAACTCTCCAAAAAAATTTTTAAAATGAAGAATATTTCTTCTTGATATTAAAATTTTTTTGGATTTGAACAGTTGTTTGAAACAGTTGTTGAATTAATGCAAAATTTAATTAAAGTCTGCTTTTTTCAAACACCCGAACCCATAAACTCTTAATTAAACAAACACTAAACCGAATCACTTTTTATTTACAGGGAATATGTGACTCCCGGCCTTGGTAGCTTTGATTATAGTGTAATGGGAAAAATATCCGATGGTTTTGTACGATCTTATCTTCTACAATTTTTTTTTCCAATTTATTAAACAATACAAAAAAAACAATTTTAGACAATTGGTGCTATTGCTGCCTGCCTTGACGAGGTAATGACATGTAAAAGAAAACTTCAGTTAAGATCGCAACCTCTTACTCATGTTGAGCTAATAAATGCATTAAGGTACACATTTAAATTCACTCATCCACACGTTTGCATGCATACATATACATATATGGATGCATGTGTGTGTATCAACAATTTGAAAAACTGCTTATAAATTTGATTTTAACATTGTAACCTATTAATACAGTACCAAAGAACCAGTTTATCGAGAAGAAGAGGAAGCATTTGAGTCCTGGTGGTCCAAGACCCCTTTGGGTAGAAGAAAAATTCGTGCTATTGAAATGGAGGAGACAGCTAAATTAGAAGAAGCGGAAGCTGCTGCTAAAGCTGGCAAAAAAAGCCCAATTAAAAAGTAAAGCTTCACAAAGTAAACGATAAATGTGTCTCCTGTAGCAGTATATTATATCACAGAGAGTTTTGGTTTTACAGCACAAGATTTTAGTGTCCCGAATTGCAATAAATTCAATATTTAATAATTGCAATAATTTAAATTTGTAATAAATTTATTTTAAACTAATATATCAAGTTGATTTTTAATAACTTTATCATTAAATTCAAAAATTATATTAAGATCAACTCAAGTTTTGCAAAAGCGAAATTAATTGTATAAATTAATTGGATAGTATCAATTGTAAAAAAATTATTATTAAGCTTTATAATTATTACGCTTGGTTTTCCTATAATATGAAGTTTGATCTGTGTATAGAATAACCACCGATTAGTAATTTACTATTCACTTGTGACAACAAAAGAGTAGATTTATAAAAGATTTATTTTGATATATAAAGCCTTAATTCTTAGGTGTTAATGTGGAGTACGTTCAGTCATCCTAAGCGTTTTAAAATTATTATAGTGCTTCAACCAATTTTCTGCTCAACGCTGAACGATTTAAAAATTTTGAAGTGAAACAAAAGTATGCTTCATTATGCAGCGGTTTCACTTTGACATTTGTATGTCATATATATTTATGTAAATTATAAGATTAAAAATATAGTTAACATTTTACAAATACAGTTTATTTAAATTATAATTTTTATTATTATTAAACATAAGAACTTTTTATTACTTACCATTATTCTCCATTCTGTTTATCTTTTTAAAAATTTGAAAATAAAAAACGTAAAACGTACAGCCTTGATTCATATCAAATGTCATATTTTAAAGCAAAAATTAAGTGTTGCAAACTGTTCAGTGGCTTTACTTTCTTGGCTGAAAGAACGTATTGCTAAACGCCGCAAGCGCAGATACATGCCTAAAAATAATTTTTGACGTAGAAACATTTGGGTAAATTGATTAATTATTATATTAACTATTACACCCCTGACAAACGATTTTTCCCCCCACGGTTTCATATTGTTTTAGCGAAGTGGTGAATATTTTTATAGCAAAAGAAAATTATTATTATTTTTTCAATTTAATTCTATAAGTAATATTGACATTTAATTGTTTTAAATAAATGAAAAAATAATTTTAATAAACTAGAATAATTATTTAGATTAAAAATAGTTGAATTGGTTTATTTGCGTAATTTAAAAAAGGAAAAGATATTGAAGTAAATTTCGACCATTTTTTTTTTAACTTTCAAGTAATAATCGCATTAAAATTTATCAGAAGTTTTGTAAAAAAAAGTTGAAAATCAATATGTAATATGGAAGTTGCGGAATTGATTGTTTAATTCAAGCAAATAATATTATTAAGCTATTATGGAAGAAGTTGAGTATTTGGAAGAATACGTTGAAGAATATCCAAATGCAATTCCTCGTAAGTTTAGAATAAAGCAATGAAAAATTGTGGATTTATCCTTTTAGTGTGTTTGCATTGATTTAAAGTTATTTAAAATATATTGCGAAATATTTTGGTAGGAATACTCGAATGTTTTTGGACGCATTTAATTTTTCTAATTTTAAAAACTAGAGTGCATATCAGAATTAAAAACTTATGTAAATCATGTTCCTTAAAAAAGTATTTCCCTTATAATTTTAATGTACCTTATGTGTACTTACATACACCTTCTGAAAAGATGCAAAGTTTAAAACTTCTGTTCTTTTTAGAAATTTTGAATAACACGGAAATCGAAGAATTTTTACCAGTTAATGAAGACGATAGATTTGACTTGCTCCCGGTAAATACTAGTTTTGATGAATTTATAGAAGAAGATCCATTAGTAAGCAGATATCGGAATGATTTCCAAAGAAATCTTAATGTGAAGAAAGTTAATGAAATGACAACATATAACGCTCAAAAAGGTATTCCTGTAAGGATTATATTTTGTTTTTATGTGATATTTACTTTAATAAATTTGAAGATTTCTGAAAAATATTTTTAATTTTCCTTAAATAGAAATAGTAGACGGCTTCGCTCATAAAGAATCTAATAAAGGGTCTTCTAAATACAATTATACACACAATTCCATTAATTCAAAGCGATCGGATATTGTAGCAAAAGTAATAAGTTGTAAAACAATAGATACGTCAGCAATAAGAGACAGAAGTTTTCCATTCAGTACTGCTCCAAAAACTACATCAATTCATGCTACACGTAAGCCTAATTTAATTCAAGCTACAAAAACTACAAAATATTCGAAACAAAGCGTTTCAAGAAATTTATTTGGTTCATATACAAAATTAAATTTGAATAAATCTATTGATTCATCTTTGAATAAGATTGTGGCAATTAAAAAATCAAATAGTAATTTTGTTGGAAATTTAAAATTGCCCACCTTGCGGGGATCTGTAAATATATTTGGCAATTTCAATGAAAAAATAATTAAATACAAAAAAGAAAATCCTGAACTTTTTCCAATAAAAAAAACCGAAACATACAAATCGATACCGAAAATAACCGCCAGACAAGTATCAAAATCGTTTTTCACTAACAAAAATAATCCATCATATAGTTTCAAGGAAGGTAATGGTCCAATGTTTAAGCCGAATTTAAATGTAAAAAAATTTTCTCGATACGCCAATAAATCAATGTCACCTTTAACGAGATCTAATGAATCTCTAGAGAAAGAACTTTTGGCAGTTGAAGATGAAATAGATGACAGTCAAGTTGCCGGGGAAGAAATAGTAAAAACTAATGAATCAAATGAAGTTGATGATAGTGATAAAGATAGTTTTGATGGTTTAGTCGAAACATTAAATGAGTACATCGAGGATGAATCTAATAATGAAGAACAAGAATCACCATATAAAGATAAATGTGATTCAAGTCCTACGGTTTCGCAAACAATTAAGCTTGATATTCAGCCCAATATTATTAATGAAGGTATGCACTATCTGCATATAAACGAAACAACTAATGCAAAAGCATCCACGAGTCAAAAAAGTCAAGAACGAAGTAAGGCTCCCAGTTACCAAGAAAAACATGACGAGGAAAATAAAGCGAAGAAATATTCCCATTTGGATGACAAATTAGAAAAAAGTAAATTAAAGCTATTTGAACTTTGTATTATTTGATAAAATTTTTACTTTTTGTTATTTCAGAATCGACTGCGCTGAAAAAAAAGCAAAAAGGTGAAAAGGTTGAGAGTAGTTATGAAGTTGATGCATGCACATCGTCCAGTAACAAAAATGAAAAATGTCTGACCTCAAAAAAGAAAAATGACATTTTGAAAGCCCAAACTCTGGAACACTTGGAAGAAGATGTCAATGAAAATTCCGTCGTGAAATCGGACGAAATTAAATCGACAAAATCTTCTATTTCTAATCACGATGAAAAATCAAGCAGTGCAGAAAAATCTGCCAATACTCCTAAACAGAAAACGAATTTAGAAAAAATTAAACAAAATGTGACCAAAACTGAATCGGATAATAAAAAAGAAGAAAAAAATAAAATAAATGATAACTGTGATTTAGCCGGAATTCAAAAAAGTAAGCATCAATCAATTAAATGTATTGCTCTTATTCTCATTCATTCTTTTCCCTCATTTTAGATCAACTTTCTGAAAATAGTTTACCAAAGGAAGAAAAAAATAACAAAACTGTTAAAGATGATATAGTTAAAAGCTCGTCAGCAAAGTCACCCGTTCATTTAGACTTTGAAAAACCAAATCAATCAGAAGGTAATTTTGATTTGGATGATAATGAAAAAAGAGAAGTAGTTGTTAATGAAAAAATTATAGAAAATGCATTTAATAACAACACCGACTCCAATAAAGAGGTTTTAACTAACGATTGCGCTTCCGATAAAAGTAAACAGTTCCCTGATAATGCAATATCGACGGAAGCGATAATTGAAAGTGAAGTAATACCATTTGTGGATGAAAATGTAAAGAAAAATGAAACTTGCCAAAACTCAGATTTGATAATTTCTGTGAAACCCGTGACTAATATTGAATCAAGCATCGCTAGTGAACATGATATCAATACAAAAAATGAAAAAAATGATGGAGAAAACAATAATATTGAAATCAATATTGAAACATCACCTGAAGAGAAATATTCAAAGAGCTCCGACATTGCAGAATGTGACTCTGATCAAAACAGTAAACCTAACAATGAGAAACTCAACTCACCGACACAATCATTACTTCTATTCAATGATAAAAATGATGAGAATCCGATTAATGACGATCAAAAAAATAATCTTGATGAAGTTGATGAAATCGACAATATTCTTGCAGAGATTGATAGTGTAATGGAAAGTATACATTCAGATAAAGATAAGCCAATGGAAATGCCAAAAACACCCCGTAAAAAATCTGTAGAAAATATAAAAAAAAGTGATGACGGTATTGATACACTTTCATGCTCTCCTGAAAAAAAAGAAGAAGATAGAGCTGTTAAAGTATTTGCGCAAAGTGAATTAACAAAACAAACAGAAATTTCTCTTTCTACAAAAGAAGTTTCAAAAATAAAAAAAGCCGATTTAAAGCCTAAAGAAATTGTTAAAGATTTAAATATAAAAAATGATCTTCAATCTGAAACAGAAAAAGGAAATATTGAAAGTGTTGATAATACAGAAGATTTAAAAAGTATTACATCACACAAAAAATCACCAAAAAATAATAAAAGTTTGGAAGAGCTTTCTAAAAATGATTCTACAAAAACCAATTGGAAAGGCATTATAAAGCCTGCAAAAGTAGTTTTATGTAAAAGCGATAAAATTTTTTTCATTAAAAAAAATTCTACTGAAAATACCGATTCTGATGCTAAACTTAATAGTTTAGAGTTCAAAGAAAAAATTAACGTTGAGCATACGACTTCAAGAAGTCGAAAGCACTCGAAAGAACGAACTAGTATTGAAAAAGGCAAGAGAGTAAGTACAAACGAGAATTGTGAAAAAAGGAAGAATTCTAGAAGTGGATTTTTGGACGAGCTAGAGAGTATATTTTATAATGAGAGTAATATTTCTGAAGTCGATAAGTCGAAATCTTGCGAAAAAACTGATGTAATTAATCAATCTGTACTAAATAATGAGGACAAGAAAAAGGAAAAATCAGTTCTAAGTGATAATTCAGATGACAATACAAAAAATCATACAAAAACTTTGATAAGAACAAGATCAAATAAGAAAATCGACGCGACAAAACAAGAAAATCTTTCTAAAGACAAAGATCCACAAGTTATGTCAAAGAAAACTGATGAAAACGTAGTAAAACTCGAAGGGCGCGAAAAAAAAATTGATGTGCAAACTGATAAGGAAGTAGAGCATATTATGAGTATTCCATCATCAGTAAACATAAAAGAAACTCGTTTTGGACGAAAGCGAATTTTATTTAGCTCGAATTCTGAATCCGGTAATAGTGATAAGATTTTCGAGAGCGACAATTCCACAATAGGGTCGCCACCATTAGAGGCAAATTCAAAACGTAGAAAGATAAATCGAAATATTAAATTAGATAGTAAACCAAAATATGACAACAAAAAGAAGGATTCAGAAGCTGCCAAAACTGATATTGAATTATATTTTCAAAATAAATTGTCTTATTTTGCACAAACTTCACGTTCATCAAATAAGAAGAATACTGACTCTAAAAGCACTAGAAAAAGTAAATGCGCCGATATTAATGAAAATCAAGCAATTGAAGTATGCGACGTGAAAGGGAATTTATACGGTATTTCCGAAAAATTAATTAGGGGCCGAAAAAGTGTTGAGAAAAAAGTACAAGATATTCAAAGTGAAGGGAAACAACATGAAAACTTACAAAATAACATCAGCAGTATAGAAACCAATAAGGGCAATCAAAAGATTGCTTCAGGCAAAAAAACTTCAGACTTCAAAATAAAGTCATCAGAATTAGAAAACATATCAACAGGAGAGAAAAAAGCAAATAGAAAAGAGCATTCGGAAAGAGAACATTCAAATATAAAAAATACTGAAGAAACGATTTCTAGCAAAAACAATTCTTCGCAAGTAATTCTTAACGAAGATAAAAATTCGAAGAATAACAAGAATACAGAAAAAAGTCAACAATTAACTAAACAAAATTCTGCAGATACAAATGTTACTAATAATGAAGCAAATGTTAATCAAATAAAAAAACTTTCTGTTGATGTTTCTAACTTAGAAAAATTAGAAAAATCGGATGAACATAAGAAAACTGGCGAAAATATTAGTTCAATCAAGGAATCTGTTTCCGAAATTGATAACATAAAAAATGAAAATTTTGGAAATATTGAGAGTCCCGAAAAAATATGCGGAAAATTGATAAACGGTGGATCAGTCGATAAAACCTTCGGAGCATTAGAACATAAGAGAAAATCTAGCAGTGAATTGAAAAAACTACAGAAATCAGCAACAGCGAGTGAAAATCAAAAACAACAAGAAAAAGATATTAAAATTAGCACTGAAATAAATAAAAATAAATCAGAACAAAGTGATGATAAGACAAAAAATAATCTTGATAAACATAATATAGAAGATATAAAAACAATTGATAAAAACCAAAAGGCAGAAAATTTACGAGATGTTATGAAAACAACATCTGGAAAAAGTGGTCGTACTAAAATTAGTAGTTTTCAAACAAAGAATGAAAAAGACAAAGATTCTATAAATGCAAAAAACAGGAGCACACATGGAAATGAAAACGTGGTTAGTGAAAACGAAAAGGAAGTAGAATTTGATAAAACTCTTGACGATGAGCTTAACGAATCAAGAAGTTTAAGAATTAAAATTAGAAGTAAAAGAACATCTGGTTGTCCTGAAAAGGATATTTGCGGAGTTGTTAATAAAAAAGGCGATATTTTAAAAACCACTAAGAGTGAAGAAACAAAATTAAATGATAGCGTACACAAAGCAGGTGCCTCAGAAACTTTACACTGCGAGAAAATGCTCGATAATGAATTTGATAGTTCAAGTCATAAAAAAAATTTGAAAGTAAAAGATGAAAGTGTCGAAAAACATAAACTCAGTAAAAAGAAAGAAGAAATTGCTGTTAATAAAAAAGAGTTAGATAATAAAATTGCATTATCCAATGAAGAAAACCGTGATGATTCAATAGGATTAGAAAAAACTATTAAGGATAAATACTGTCCAGAAAATACCGTTTCCAGTGAAAATATTGGTATCCCAAAAATCGCAGAAGAAGATAAAAATTTGCATAATACTAGGAATAGCCGAGAAGTAAAACCTTGTCTTACTGAACAAGATGACCGAAAATCTGCAAATAATCAAAAGGAAGTTCTAAACGTTACATCAAAAGATAAAAATGTTGATTCTTGTGGCGATATAACTCCTTTTATATCGCCTCTTAATAACCAAGATAAAAATTCAAAAATAAATAGCACTGAAAAAGGAACGAGCAGAAGAGCTAAATCTGTAGATGAAAAACTTATTCCAAGTATTGAGTTAACCGATAAAAAATTAGGAAGCAAATATGAAACAGAAAGCAAAACTAGGAGAAACTCGGAAAATAGCCATTTCACTCAAAATATCATTAATAAACTAATTATTGAAGAAGATAAGGGTTTGAAAACGACGCTACATAGCAGATCAACAAATGACTGCTCTATCAAAAAAACGCGACAAATATCATCAGACGAAGAGCTTAATAAATCAAAAACTTTAGAAAAAGAAAAAAAGTCCCATGAAGTTTCAGAAAGTACAAGTAATATTAAACTTTATAACAATGAAACTATAAATGAACAAGATAAAAACTTGAAAGGAACAACGAATAAGAAAGATTCGCCTGAAAATATTATGTCGGATATCGGCGTTGATAAAAAGGTGTTACAAAATCAAAAAGAATTAGAAAATCAAAAAACAAGCAATAATGAGTCTAATAATTTAAAGAGATTGTCAAAGATTAATAGGAAATCTTTTGAAACCATCGGTATGGGTTCTCAGAGGCCAGATGACAAAATTGTTATAAACACACAAAGCGAGAAAGAAAGTTCTAAAGAAAAAGAAATTGTTCCACCCAGTTCACATGACGTAAAAGAATCAAACCGCATAAAAACATCTTCAACTGACACTTCAGACAAACTAATAAGATTAGAAAAGAGAAAAAGTTCGCAAAATAGTGATTTGGGTAAAAGTTGCGTTCCTCAAGATGTTAATGAAGAAGATAAGAATCTTAAAATCTATACTAATGACAATGAATCTAACAAGAGCTTTCTTCCGGAAATTAATGAGGACCAAAAAAATGAAGAAGAAGAACTAAGTAATGTTAAACAGCTTGAACAATTAGATAGCAGCAATAAACCTGACAACCACAAAGAAGTTTTTGCAGACCCTGATGTCACTACGACAGAAGAAACAGATCAATTTAAAAAAAGTATACATGAAAAGTTCGATGAAATTCTCGAAAATGAAGTAAAAAATAAAATCAATACACCAAATAATGAAGAAGTAGTTAAAAATATAACGGAAATATCAATTATTGAATCAACGAAACCGAAGAAAAAGAGATCCAAAATGAGAAAATCAGCATTCTTTTCAAAAAAAAAGAAATCTCGAAAAACTGGGGAGAAAAAAAATACAGAAAATGAAAATGCGGAAGTTAAATCTCATCAAAATATTGCCAATAGCATTAGTATTGCAACGGATAAAAGTGTGCCTGAAAATAAAACTTTGAAGGACACTGAGCCGCTTCAAAGTCCAAGCGATGAAAATATCAAAACTACTAAAGAATCCAGTAGCAATATTTTTAAGAAACCATCAGTTCAAGATTACACTGTAAATAAGAAAAAACCCAATTACGAAACTGAAAAAAAAACATCAGATCCTATATTTGTGCAACCGAAAGCTCCGTCAAATTCAGATAATTCTCAAACATTAACACGTAAACGAACACGAACAAGTAAAGAATATGATGTTAAAATGTTGGCATCTGCCTTGAATGAATCTATGTTGATACCAAAATCAGAAAAACGGCGGGAAGGAAGTAGATCAATATCCACGACAAAATCTGTTCAAAACAACGCAAAAACTGCAAAAGAAATAAAACCTATAATCAGAAGTGCAAGAATAATTCGTCGCCGGCAATCTAACCTAATTCAAATAACCAGGAAAGAATATGAAAAGGTTGTTCGGGAAAATTTAAGAAAAAGGGATAGAGAAAAACAATTAAATGTAAGTGAAAAATATTCTCTTTTTAACAATACATTTCTTAACATAATTTTAATATTTTAGAATAAAAATTTGTTGAAAAAATTTGGTATTGTAAAGCTGTTGAAGGTAAAAGTAAAAAGATTATCTAAAACAAAAATACAAAAATTAAAGCAATTGCAAAGCTCTGAAAAGGAAAAAGTAACTGAACCAACTGAAGCTGCTGAATTAAAAAAGAGTGCATATGAGCAAAAGGATTCAGCTCAAAAAATTTCTGGGAATGAAATTGTCGACAAAGTAAAGTCGTTCCTTGAACAGGTTTATACGCTTGGAACAAGTTTAAAAGAAATACAAAAATCAAAAAGTAAAGATAATTTAACTGAATCTGAAAATAGCTTTGACAGTAATTCGCAATCTATGACAAAAGAAGTTGATGACAAAAGCAAATCAAAAGAAAATCAAATATTAAATAATGAAAAGCCAAAAAAACGACTTGTTACAACGCTGCCTCTTAATGATAGAGTAAGCAAACGCAACACAAAAAGAGAAAATAATTCGAAAAGAATGACTCGTGCGAGATCTATGCCCCGAAGCATAAATAATTCCGAAGATGAAGAAACAAATTCTTCTCGAGCTTCAAGTAATTCTCGGACGCTATCAAGTTTTAGCGACAAAAATGAGACGCTTGAAGCCCTAGAAAAATTTCGTAATTTAAAAAGTAAAAGTAGAACACCTACGCCTTCACATGATAATCAGAATATCGTAGATATCCCGAATAATACAGAAAAAGTTGCAAGGAAAACATCAATCACTAAAAGCTTAAATCAAACCGTTCAAAGTATTGAAACCGTAGAACAAAAAAAAATAGATGATGTGAATGTTGTTTCAAAAGCTAATGATATAAATTTAAAGAATTCTACATCAAAAAATTCTAAAAGAGAAAACAAAAAGATTACTGAACCATCATCTCAAAGCAGTGTTAGCACAGACCTTTTAGAAGATAGTTGGATCTCTACAACTGAAAATATTTTAATTGAAAATGAAATCGAATTGCAACAAGAAAATTCTCTTAAAAAGATTTTGCCTTCGTCTAGTGCGAAGGCGGATTCGACTTTTGTAAGTAAATGTTTCCAGCTAACTTATGCGTAAAAATTTTATCCACTAATTTCAATTTAAAATATTTTTTGCAGGTTTCCACGATTGTTCCGTTGAATCAACTAAAACCTTCAAAAGCTGTTTCCATTTCACAAGATTCTTTAAATAATACCAATCAAATAAAAAAGGTAATACAACCTACAACTAAATCATCACTCCAAAAAAATGGTCAAGTAAGATGGCTCCCAGCCCATATCGTGGTTGAAACAGTTTTTATGACAAGAGATGAATATGATCGTAAAAATTTAAGAAAGATTATCACACCTACTCCACCCTCGACCTTAACAACACAGTTAAAAACGAAAGAATTATCAAAAATCACTCCAAATATTGTAGAAACTCCAGCACTAGGTACGTCAATGGTTACAAAAAGCAGAACCAGTTTAATAAATGTAAATAATAATCGTGATGTTGATAGCATTCTTCTCAAAATATCTGATTTACTAGAAAATCAGGTAAAAAACGAGAGTCAGATAAATGTAAGTGAACCTGAAGAATTTCGTAGAAGAATTCAACGTTTAAATAACGTGAATAAAATGAGGCTGAGCAGTGAAAACGCGCTTCAGGTTTTAATATTTTTACAAAATTATTTTTTTAATGTTACTCCTGCACAAGATACATTTTTGAAACCTTTACCTATACAACAAAAAACCTTAGCGCCTACATTCAATCTAGTATCAACTTCAACTGAGTCACCACTTATAGCAACCACCATTTCTTCAAACCAACAGAAATTAACAAATTCTGAACCAGATACAGATAAATGTTTTTCATTCAAAAAAATTCTCTTACAAAAGCAACCTAATTCTGAATCAAATAACAGTTTGACTGATCAAAAAATTGAACAAACACCTAAACATAAATCTACAAAACGAATTGCGACCACGTCTCAAGCACCTCCAGTAAATATGGGGCCACCACCAAAAATTCCAAGAACTTTAGAAAAACAAATACAATTAACAAATACAACTAGTTCAACACTTCAATCTGATTTAATAACATCCATACGGAAGGAGCCTGAAGAAATTTTACCAGATTTGGAAAATATTCTAATGGACCAAATTAAAGAGGAAACACCTGACGAAATAACATAGAATTGGTGAAATTACATTATTTTACGTAATTTGGGTTTTTAGAATTAAAAATAAAAGTTGTTCGTATTTAATTTCTTAAGAACTGAGTTTATCAATTAACATACATCTTAACTGTATTATTCATACTTACATTAATGTATTTAAAAAAAAATGTAATACAAAAACAAAAATTAAAGGAATAAAATTAATTTAATTTAACATATAATTTTTAAAATTTAATTTTAGAAAAATTCTTTTAAAAATTTGTTATTTAAAAGAAAAATTAATCTGTTTATATCTTAAGTTTTAATTTTTTAAAATTGAATTGTTAAAGACGAGTATAGATTTTCTGAACTTTAAAGGTTATTATTTTCTTTATCTCATAAATGGTTTTATTATAATGAGAAAATAAATAAAATATTAAAAATAGTTGTGAAGAAATGTTTTTGATTTATTGAAAATTTCAAAATACGAAATTATTTTTAGTTGGAAAATAAATATAAAATGTAGCCCACACTTAAATAATAATGTTTTATTGTTTCTTTTAAACTTAGCCGTGTAAAAACTCATCCAGTAGGTTCTAACATGTACCTTGGCTATGGTTAAGGTTATAAATCATTATAAAATATGAATTACCTACATATGCAAGTATCTCCACATTGTTTAATCGTTTAATTTATGGTTTTTCTCTAAGGAAATTTGGAAAGGTACTATTAATATTGACGAAATACATAAGTATGTACATATGTTGATAAGTTAGAAAATAGTCGAATGAAGGTAATAAAAAAAATGTAGCACATCATATGAATGAGATAGTCTGGTCATTTAAATCTTAGCGTTAAAAGAAATGAGTGGTGAACTGGTAATTTTTAAGAATAGATTTCGATCAAATTTGTTAAGTAATATATAATCTAATAGTACTAAAATCATTTAATTTAAATCAATAAACTGAATTTTTTTAGAAAAAGTTAAATCTTTATAAGTATATATGTATGTATACATACACATATGTATACAAGAAATTTTTAATCATGAAATGGCCTATAATGTTCATTAACTACATTCTAAACATAGTGACCACACTAATTAATATAATGATTTTTTTTTTTACGTTTCTGAAGAGAGAAGGACGATTCTTTTATATTTGACAGTTATCACGCCACTTTTTTGACATTTTATCTAACGCATAAAACAAAGATAGTTATACCGGCAATAAACTATATTTTTCTCTTTTTAACTTATTTTATTTACACAAATCTCACATTATAAAAACAAAAAAAAAAAAAGAAAAAGTGCCTAACTAACACATAAGTAAAATTTATTAAAATAAAAAAAAAAAACACTTTCGAAAACGTTGAATTAAATGTTTTAAAAATATTTTCACCGTATTGTATCATTTCCTATTGAAATTTCATATAGAAAAGTTCGCGCTTCGCAAATCGCAATTTTATTGAATAAAAAAAAAAAAAATTTTTTTTTTTACTAAAGTGTAAATTTAATATCTATATTTAAAATCAATATTTAAGAAGATCTTATTGCAAAATAATAAAATTTTAATATAGAATTTTCTGGAGAAATTTTTTTTTTAAATAAAGAGAAAACAAAAAAAAATTTTCCAACCAAAATCAATAAATTGTGAAAAATTTGAAGGCAACAAAAATAAAAAAATACAAAAAAGAAAAATTTAAACTGTTGTGCTTTGCTAGTATAACAACTCATAAGATTACATACATACTTACACACATACGTAATCTACGTAAATACAAAAATTATTAAACAAGAAAAAGAAAAGGTGAAAATTTTTTTTCTAATACGAAACTTCAATAATTGCGTGTTTTGATTTTTTTTTTATATTTTTGTTTATTAAAAGAAAATAAGTTTTGCTAAAAAAATTTTTTAAATACCAACCTTCCTAATATTTACATATGTATATGTATGTGTCTTTTTTTATAATAATTATGTTTTACAATTTATAAAACAAAATAATTAAGTGCTGATTAAAATAAAAAATATCTACATTTAATGGAAAATATTAAATAATATACATATATATATATACATTCACACACATGTAATTCAAATTGAATAAAAAAAAAATAAAAAAAAAAAGGCAAAAAAAAAAAAATAAGGTACGTAAAAAATTTTCTACTTTTTTGTTTTTATTTTTTTTTTTAAGTTTTTTTTGGAAAAATAATTCACACATTATTTATGTGTGTCATAAATTCCTCATCTCATCATTTATCAATCATAGCAAAATATAATCTCTAGGTATACTTTTAATGTAATACTTAAGAGAATCTTGCATATTCAAAAAAATCTTTAACATAATATCAATTTATTTGTTGTATATAAAATTGTAAAATATTTCAATGTGTATGTATGTACCTACATATATCACATATATGATTTTATTTATTTGATTGAGGTTAATTTTACATATTTATATAACTAAAATTTTTTACATATGAACTTATGTACAATGTATCTTGTAAATAGGCATATAAAATTTTTGTTTGCATATTTAAAAAAAAATTCCTAATTGAATGTACTGCATATATGTAGGTACCTATTTACCTACCTACCTAAATCATATTTATATATGTATATATATATATATCAGAATTTATATTAATAATCATTATTGTGTGCCTATTTATGAATAAACATAATTTTATTAATAATTAAATATTTACCCAAATTGAGCTGATTATACCCCTTAAGCCCATTCAAATAATTTTTAACAACAATATTATGCCATAAATTTTGACATGAAAATAAAATCGTGTTGACTACATACAATAAGTACCTACCTATGTACTGCCCTGAAATACTTTAAGTTTAAAAAATATCAAAATAATTAAAATAAATACCATTAGGTAGGGTAAATGTCCACCAATAATCATTTAATTATATTTTATTAATGAAAATAGTAATCTTATGAAAATTTTATTTTCTACTTATCCGCAATATTGATATCCTTTTTAATATTTCAGTCTTATAAATTTGTCTTAATTTAAAGAAGAAGAAATTAAGGTAAATATTTTATTTAACAAGTAATGTATGTATTTTAAACGTCAATATACTAAAAAATTTACTAAAATATACTAAAAAATTTTAAGGCAACATTATTAATATAACATGTAATCGCGGTTTATAAATATTGTGCACACAATCAATAATTACGATAATCGTTTGCATCTGGTAATCGAAATAAGTGTTTAATAAGGTAATATATGAATATATGTATATTTAATATAAGGATCTTAAGACTATATTCTCCATAATTTTAACTGTAGTATGTATCCTGTACACATAATCGCATAATATTCTTTTCTTTTATGCCTAAAATTAAAAAATTTTTTTAATTGGATGTTATTTTAAAACATTTTACATTTATGCTAGAAAAAAGAATAATTGTTTCATAGGCAGGCAGGTGTACCTACTCATAACATTTTAAAATGTAACGCTAAAAATTTTTAAGTAAATAACATAATTGTTTCCAATCAGAATCAATTCAAAGAATCTTATAAGAGATCTCATTACAGCATCCATTTCTTAAAAGCGTAAAATGATTATTTGTCTATTGTTAGAACGTAAATATAAAATATTTAATGATTCTAATAAATTTAATAATAAGCAAATTTAAGTAATAAAATAATTGTTTTTTGCTACATACAACATGTTTGTTGTTGCTCTAAAAACTTCTGAATTAAAAATTCTTACTTATAAGAATTAAATTTGTGTAAATGTATATACATATATGAATATAGGTATGTATATTGGTTTTATGTTATTTCAATAAAAAACTGTGTGGGTGCGTAATACTTAATTACTTTCGTTTCTTTGTGAAAATTTTCCATTTCTTTTAATTTTAATGTTTAGCAAAATAAATTACGCCAAATACATATACTTATATATGTATGAATAATTATATAAAAAGTTCTAGTAACTAGATCCTTCGTGTCATCTAGGTAATTCATTAAATCGTTAATTTAAATTAATTATTTTACCTATTAAATTTTTCTTATCAATTTATTTTAAATAAAAGTTGATACCTAAAGCCTAGTCTATGATCCTACCTAATCTATACTTACATATATTATTATAGGAAATCAAAAATTCCAATTTACAAACGTGTGAATGTTATATTTTACAATAAAGTACCCTATGGTTGTTTTTTTTTTTTAATTTTGCTTTTTTTTCAGTTTTATGTTATCTTCTGTTTGTTTTGATTTTCGTATGGTCTGATATTCTGGAGAAAATTTTTCGATATATAGAAAAAATAGATAATAATATACATAAATGAATAGGTACATGCATATAAGGGGAATATTAAATAGGAAATGCAAAAAAAAATACATACTTATTATGTAGATAAAATTATATATACATACATATATAATATTGCACAAAACAAAAATTAATTTCAATATTTTTTTTTATGTTTTTGGTATGAGGGAATTTGGGAAACCATTTTATGCGCACGTGCAGCCACGTGGTGTGACATCACTACAACATATAAGTTTTTATATTAAATATATGTATTTTAGTATGTATATCATATTTTATAAATACATAAGATATTTATGCTTTAAAGTCTAGTAAACAGATTAATACCTACACAATATACTTATTGTTATATTATCTATGGTAACTTATTAAAATAAAAGACTTTTTTATAGAAAAGTTTTCTTCCTACCTAAATAAAATTATATTTAAATACTTAACATTTATACATTTTGTAAGTAGTATACAATGGAGAAATTATTTTCTTTGGTTATGTTATATTATAATACTATCACTATGCAATAACTATTATATTATAACAATATTACGTGTATAAGAGTGTACCAGCTCACTCACTAATACCAATTCATAATTGAAATATATTCATTTGACTTTTCACTTTATTATTCTTATTTTGTAAAAAAAAAAAAATATTTTTAAATGGAAAATATTTTTCCCCTCAATGTCATACGATTATTTCGAGCGTGTAAAATTGTAAGTTGGTAAGATATATATACTTAATATTGTATAATTTATGTAAGTATCTATTGCTATCCTATAGGAATGCACATATATGTACTTTATATGTCGGTCTTGAATAGATACATTTTTATTATCAGAAATAAAAAAGAAAATATGTACATAAGTATATAAAATCTAAGATTATATTATGAAGTATGTACATATATTTATATTGTATTGGAAAAGCATACTTAGTTATGTCAAACAATAAAAAAGAGACAAAAAAAATCAAAGAATTTAAAGACAAAAAAAAAAGAATGGTCAGAGAGTTGATGTATATGGAAAAAGGAATTCAGACGGATTTATTATTAATTTTAGATTCTTGTACTTATTTGTGATTATTTTTATTGTTTTGTCTTATTTTTTTTTTTTTATTTCATTTCTGTTTAATTAAAAAAGACATTCGATAGAGTTCACTACCGGTTTTTATATTATGCACCAGAGTGCATTTTTATTAATGAGCACAT